TAGTGCATAGACGTCTCTTCTTGCTCTCCATTTGTTCAAAACGTTCTCATGTGAAAACGGAGCTTGAATGTTTACAAACACCTATCTTGCTGTTGCTATCTAGGAAGAATTTTGTCATGAATTCATAAAGATAATGCACTCCCTGGCCAGGGGCCCATGTGCTCAGCTGTCCCACATTACCACACAGTATGGTGGACGAGCCACTTAACGCCGCACGGTTTAAAATTACCGCACTGCTGGCAAACGGCTGCAGTATTCTGGTCCACCACCACTTCTGGAAATTGTGTTTGTATTTCTTTTTTGCTTCTCCGGTTTGGGGTAAATTATGTGCCGAGAGACGTTTTATGACAAACAGCAAGCCCCAGGGAAGTGCACTTTAGACATCACTAGAAAAGGTTGAGATGGGATGGGAACTTGGCTCGAGTACTTTTGCTTTTTCTCTTCAAACTCTCAGCCCATGAGTGGAAACTAAGAGGGAGTTGAGTCCGCGCACGAGTCTTCAAGTCCTTCTGTAATTTTTCTTCCCTGGAATGGCTCTCCTAGCTTTGTGTGTGTGTGTGTGTGTGCCGTTTTGTTTTGAGAGCTTAGGTAGTTGAACCGGTCATAGCTGATGTCAGTCTCGGCCTGTGGAAAGCACATTGCGGTCTCTCACCCCTCTTTCCATGCTGGGCTGCTTACAGTACTGCAGACATGCTGACCCACAGGGGAGTAATTTATGACAGTTGTCGCCTTGGTCTGCTAAGCTGCACAGGGCATTGCCCGCCACTCTCAGCATAGCATTTCAATATCCCGCTGGGAGTACACCCGATAGGCTTTAATGTTTGCCCACTGTGGAGACCCTGTGGTATCACTGCATAGAAATGTGGTCCCCGACCCGGTGTTGTTCAAAGTCACCAGCTGTTACCATGGAGAGAGATACTGGCACTAACAGACATTCAGTTCCTTTGGTCTTGGTGGATGATTAAGCTTAAAAACAGCATAGCACTGTTCACAATATTTTAAATTCGTATATTAACACACTATGTGAAGGCTTTTGCGCCGGTTCACTTCCCCCCCCATTTCAAATGTTTTCTTTTTGCTGTTGCAGGTTGCATACAGTTCATGGACAGTAGAGTGTTCTTTCTGCAGTCGTCATGAATAGAACAAACGCAGCTAAAGTCCTCAGATCCACAACTAATCAACACAGACCCCTAATATACAGTGGGGCAAAAAAGTATTTAGTCAGACACCAATTGTGCAAGTTCTCCCACTTAAAAAGATGAGAGAGGCCTGTAATTTTCATCATAGGTATACCTCAGCTATGAGAGACAAAATGAGAAAAAAAAATCCAGAAAATCACATTGTAGGATTTTTAAAGAATTAAATGGTAAATTCCTCGTTAAAATAAGTATTTGATCACCTACAAACAAGCAAGATTTCTGGCTCTCACAGACCTGTAACTTCTTCTTTAAGAGGCTCCTCTGTCCTCCACTCGTTACCTGTATTAATGGCATCTGTTTGAACTTGTTATCAGTATAAAAGACACCTGTCCACAACCTCAAACAGTCACACTCCAAACTCCACCATGGCCAAGACCAAAGAGCTGTCAAAGGACACCACAATCTGTTTAGACACAGTCATTGTCTCTTATAATCTTTGGGAGTTTTTTCTTACCACCAGTCCACACAGGACTGATCAGTTCAGACCCTCCAGAGGTCTTCGTTAATGCTGTTTTGCCATGTTTGGGCTGTTCCTCACTAGGCCCTCTGCCCTCTCACTCGCTCTCACACACACACAGCAAACTGAAACAGCTCAGATTAAGATTAATCCTCCTTAATGCACCGGCTCATAATATAGTCATTAGGTGATTTGAGCCTAATCCAGCCCATCTAACCACTGTGCTTTATAAAACACACACACACAGAATTTGCTGTCAATGCTTGGAGGCTGGAAACACAGCATCACGTATAAATACAGGCCTCTCTGACACTTAATACTGATTAAGGCTTCGCTGAATGGTAAATGTAAATGAAGAGCTCGTGTTGAGCTGGAGTGTGAATAGACAGAGAGGTCTTCACTGGAAAGTAATGTTACATTAGGTGACTTCATGCTGATAAGAATAGTTCACCAAAAAATTATGGTTCGGTCATAATTTACTACCCTTCATGCAGTTTTCAGTTTGTTGTTTCAATGTAAGGTAAAATGTTTCTGTTCACACTATTTTCATTGAGTTTCTATGAGCTTTTGTTCTGTTTGAATTTTCAAGTCAAAATCACATTTTCTGCTCTGCAGATTAAAGGAAGTCTGAAAAGTTTGGAACAAGGAAATAAGAAAAGACGTTTAAGGAAGGAAATAGTTTTTATTTTGGGTCAAGAATCCCCTTGCGCTCTGGCTTATGGTAGTATCAAGTCAGGCTGCAGTAGCAGCAACACAGCTGGCTTCTCTTAAAGTGAGGAGGCCGAGAGAGAGCTCAGCACCTTTGAGATTAATCAGCTGTACTCTTCTGCAGTGAAGAGCTCTGCTGGACACCGGCCAGTGTCATGCCCCAGTAGATAACTCCTTCTGACAACTCCACTCTACCATCTGATCATGAAAATCAAGACAATGTCTGTCTCTTCAGCATTGTTGCAGTTTTTAATCATAATGCATTTACACACTCATATGATGATGATAATGATGTCAGGGTTAGTTAGGGGTGGAACGGTTCAACTTTTTCACGGTTCAGTTTGTATCACGGTTTCGGTACGGTTTTGGTATGTGCTATGTTTAGGGAAAAAATATACTGTCAAATAAAAATAAAGAAAATAAGAATAATCTATCTAACTACAAACAACAGTACAAATAAATACAATAGAGTAAAGATACAAATAAAATAAATTGATTTTCAGTTTAAAAAAAAATTTTTTTTTAGGAAGGTCTAACATTAGTTTTTAGGTACAGAAATTGAATAAAGTAATGAAATGTAAAACAGCATTGCATATTTGACTGTATACATAAAGATTTAATCTTCATTAAAGTTACAAAAGCTATTCAATCAAGAGCAGTGAGTGCTTTCTTTGTTGATTTCTAATGTTAAGAAAGTGCTGTCACTTTAAGAGAATGCTTTGATCCAGTGCACTGATAACAGTACGATCAGCCGGCTAGGTCTGGTATAGGATACTTACCAAGATGGGCATTTTGACACAATTTTTGTGTGAATTTGTCCATTTAAACAATACTTCAGAGAAAGCTTAATATTTGCGAGCGTTCTGAGGCGCGGGTTTGCGCGCTTCGGATGAGCGCACGCACAAATCTTCTCACTGCGCGTGCGAGCGAGCGAGCGTCCTCTGGCTCTTAAATGTTTAAACTGGCAAGGCTTAATAAATGAGTTTAGTTTAAACAGATATCAGCGTGTGCTGTTCAGGTCTCACCTGTGCGCTTGCGCTATCAGCACTCTGGTGATGATGGAATAAATGCTCATATTACAGCATACGGCATTCACATTGAACAAGAGTGAATACACGTTTGTCCATGTTTTTTCCCTCCCCCATCGCTGTTGTTGTAATGTACTGGGAAGCCAGAATGCACATCCATCAACAGAAACATATATTAGCCGAACCCTGTTTGTTTTACGTGTTATTTATAAGAAGCTATATTACAGATGCGATGTCAGATTTAAGTTGAACCGCGGTCCTAGCGCGTGCCGAACCGTGTGTGGAGAACCGTACGGTTCGATTTTTTTTCCCGCGAACCATTCCACCCCTAGGGTTAGTTTAGTTGCCTTGAAAGCTTTGAATTGCTGTCATTGACTGTTTGAGTATTTGTATGCTCACATTTATTATAGTACAGTGCATTTTGCAAATGTACCGATAAATCGAGAATTAAATTGGAAAAAAATATAGGCATTTCAAAATGATATATATAATTTTTCACTCAAAATAGGCATTTTCAAAATGATATAATAAATGATCTGTGGAGTATTTTGAGCTGAAACTTCAGACACATTCTGGGGACACCAGAGACTTGTATTACATATTGTAAAAAGGGGCATAATATGTCTCCTTTAAGAAGGGGGACAGAAATGTCAAATGTAAATTGGTAAGAATTTATTTTTTTTCTATTTGAAAGTAATTAATACTTGTATTCCGCAAGGATGCATTGTTATTCAAAAGTGACAGTAAAACATTAAGAATGTTACAAAATAATTATTTTTCAAATAAATGCTGTTGTTCTGAACTTTACAGATCTTTACTTACCAAAGTATCCTAAAATACGTCATGGTTTCCATAAAAACATAGCCTATTAAGCATGTTTTCAACGTTGATAATATTGAGAAATGTTTCTTGATCAGTAAATCAGCATATTAGAATGATTTCTGATGGATCATCATGTGACACTGAAGACTGGCGTAATGATGCTGAAAATGCAGCTTTGACATCACAGAAATTAATAGGGCTGTGTATTTGCAAGAATCTGGCGATACGATGCGTATCACGATACAGGGGTTGCGATACGATATATTGCGATACATTGCGATACTGTAAGCAAGGCGATATATTGGGATATTTCTTATTTTAGGAATTGGATATATTTTTAGGAAATCTGTCATAAAGAACACACCACCATATGCAAACCTTAGCAATAAATAAATAAAAAAAAAATTATTTAACCAGAACACAGTGGGATCTGCATTTGCAATAATCAGTCCCTGTAACATTCAATGTTATTGAACCACTTTTTGTGCAGTACGAGTCATGGGGGAAAAATTAAAGTGCTTGCAGGATCCTTTAGTTAAATGTATAACTTGTATTTTATAAAAAGACCATATTTTTTTAGACCCTGCTTTAAAGGTTCACATTTTAAGTTTACAATTGTAACATACAATGTCATAACATTTTGATCTGAACAAAAGTATTACATCTGCTTAATATCAATGAAAAATAAAGTGATTACAGGATTTCTAAAGAAAACAAAACTATTTTAAAACAATAAAATATATACATGTTAAACATTCTCAGAACCTTTCCACTTGGATTTCACAGGTTTTTCAGTTTGTATTTATGTTCCGCGTGGAATCACCGATACCGTGACGCGAGCACCGCCCCAACTGCACAAAACGCCCCCATCATGAGAGAAAGCTGCAGCCGCGCGAAGGCTCTTCACAGAGGACGCAGCAAGCGGCAAAACTGAGGCGGCGCCCGTGCCCTCGGTCCCGCGGTGGACGTTAAAAGCCCAAATGACGCCACACTTCAGCTTTGTACACTGACACGGGAACTGGAACAATTTTCATCCTCCATTACTAGCAGCGAACCATATTAACGGTAACATTAGTGGCGTGCCCTAATGCTTGTATTTCCTGTCACTGTTTAAGTTCTGAGATGAAGACTGCTATTTAGTGGTCGGGATATAAACTCAAAATGAAACCACTGCCATGAATCTTGTATTATTTTTTTAATTAAATATCGATATTCCGTTTTTGAGAATCGATACAGTATCGCCAAACAAAATATCGCGATACTCACGTGTATCGATATTTTCTTACACCCCTAGAAATGAATTACATTTTAAAATATTTACAATTTAAATTGTAGTTATATTTAAAATTTTTACTGTTTTCGGTCAAATAATGTAGCCTTATAGACCCCAAACTTTTTAAAAGGGAATGTAGATCAGGATTTTTTTTTAAATACAGAAGCACACCATTCAACTTTTGTTCTTCCCCTTGTATACTGACTCAAACATGGTCTAATTGTAGGCAGGGCTTGTTTTAGTATCCGCCACAGTGTCTTGCTAACACAGTAGCCGAGGCCTGTTGTCTAAATCTACAGTGCGTGGTTGCAGGATATGCTCTCACACCCCATGGGAATGCCATTAGTGTGGAACTGAAGGAGCACAGCAGGTGAAACAAATAAGGCCCAGATTTTTTTCCCTTTGGTCACCTCGCTTTTTTTCCTTTTCTCGCTCCCGTGTTCTTTTCCTCTTTCCTCTTTCAGTCCGCTCTCTCTCCTTCATTCTTTCCGTGCAGTTGTGGATGATAGTAATCATCAGGAGTGGTGTGAAATTAGCTCCGAGCCAGAGCATGTGTGGTGATTTATCGTACCGAGCTGACCGCTCTTCTAGGCTTAACCCCTCACTGTACGCAAGTCAAACCCCCCGCGGATGCCTGTACCTTCACTCAAGACACACAGGAGGGTATCTACAAGGGTACACGTTCAAAGGAGGCAACGGAAACAGCGGGTCTCATATTGGTTGTTTGTTTTTCCTCTAAATAGAGGCACTAATTTGAGGCCGCATCGGCTGAAGGACACACTGGGGGACGTCTGAGCGCGCCATTTCTAAATAAAAAGGATAATGATTGAATTTAATTAGAGAACCAAACATGAGAGAATTGAAATTATTATTGGGAAAAGAATGTTTTGTTTGTAAGTGATGCTAACAGTGATCATGTAGCCTTTTCTTTAGCCCAGGTGTCTGCAACCTTCAACATCTAAAGAGCCATTTTGGCCCCTTTCCCACAGAATAAATTTCACGTAGAGCCACAAAACCTATTTGATCCCTAAAAGGAAGATAACACTGCATATAGCTAAAGTTTTAAATTCAGTTATGCTACAGGGCAGGGGCAATCATTTAAAGGTGACATATCATGAAAATCTGACTTTTCCAGGTTTTAAGTGCTATAATCAGGTCCCCGGTGCAACTACCAACCAAGGAAACGTGAAAAAGATTAACCCAGTAACTTTGTTTTGGTAAGCCTTTTTCTGCAAGCGTTTGAGAAAATGAGCGCGCCTGATTCGCTCCCTTGGTGACGTGGCAAAGGGATCTCATTATAATATTACCGCCCCTTAATCTGTAAGTTTCCACTCACGGCGCCGTCATTTTCATTTTGCAAGCGACAACAGTGTACCAGCTCTAATGCCATGGCGAAAGTTTGAGCAAAATATACTAACTGTTCTGCCTTTGTCTGCACAGACGAGCACAGAACACTATTTAGATCTAAAATAAACGTGCTATTTATTTCCCAGCAGTATACCTTCACAGACATAACCGACTGTTTTTTTGTAACTCGTGTGTTTTTAACGTAAACTTGTGTGTGAATAGGGCCTTTTGCACCGCGGGAACCTTTTCATAGTACCAGAACTAATTGTGGAGCTACCCAGTTTTTGGCGTTTTCGCACCGCCGGAACTGGGTGCGATTTTAGTACCGGACTGCCTTTTTCGAGAACCAAATTAGCTCCTACTCCGGAGCAGGGTCTAACCAGCACAACTGGTACTACCCGTGACGTAAGTAGACATTGATTGGCCAAACGCGTATGAAAACGCCCTCACCCGCCATGATTTAAAACGCTGTGTAAACACACTGTACACGTTGTGTCAACTTATTTCGCAAGTATGGAGAACAGTGATGGATGGACGGACGCTGAAGTGCAGGCACTTGTAGCAAATGTAGCACTGTCAGTTGTCGTTGGAGATTCTTAGTCCTCCTTACCGTTCTTTCTATCGCTTTACGTATATGTCGACTTTCCATGTTCATTATTGTGAAACCCGCGAGACACAACAAAAACACAGCTCCGATCACAGCGTCCTCCATCCTCCTGTTGTTAATGTTGTTGGTCTTGGTTTCTGTTGTTGAACAACAAATGACATCGCTGTCGACCGGCTTACGTCACTTCCTAGTACACACTGTCGGTATGAATGCAACCCTTTAAATGGTACTGGGAAATAGTTCGCGCAAAATCGTCCCAGTACTTTAGTACTGTACATTTAGTTCTGGAACTAAAGCGGTGCGAAAGGCCCTATTGAGAACTTAGTTTAGTACTCACATGCTGTGACAGCCGCTTTCTGTCCGTGTTCTTCGGATGTGTGCTCTCAGAAAACCATATATCAGTATTTTAAACTCCTATGGTTTAAACCACATGATTTCAGCGCGATAAACATGATAATCAGAACCATAACAGATGTTTTTAGGAGGTCCGAGCTGTAATGGCGCAGCTCTATTCTGGAAAAGGGGGCGGGGAGCAGCAGCTCATTTGCATTTAAAGAGACGGGTCCGAAAAACAGTTCTGCTTCCACTCAAAATAGGCATTTTCAAAATGATATAATAAATGATCTGTGGAGTATTTTGAGCTGAAACTTCACAGACACATACTCACAGACTTATATTACATATTGTAAAAAAGGGGCATAATATGTCTCCTTTAAGAAGGGGGACAGAAATGTCAAATGTAATAATATTTATGTAAAAAAAAAAAAAAAAACTTAACTGGCTAAGAAATTAAATACACTGCTGGACAATAACCAATATTTTGTGTGTGTGTGTGTGTATATACATACATACATACATACATACATACATACATACATATACACACACACACACAAGTTTGTTTTTATGGTTTATGGGGACTCTCCATAGGCGTAATGGTTTTTATACTGTTCAA